TTTTTTTTTTTTTTTTTTTTTTGCCAACCATTGCCAATGTCAATCAATCACAGTATTAGCCTCTGTTAATCTATTTACTGTCGCTTCCACATACACTCTTCAATGCATATGTTGCTCAAAGGTGGCAAGTTGTCCTGGGTTCTGTGAGTCCTGAGATGGATTTAATTCTTGATGCTGGTGCTAGAAGTAGGTCTTCAAATATGGGATTGTTGTCCCACCCCTGTACTGTACTCCCAGTGGCCAAACTTATTTATGCTGCTAAATGAAAGAAAGAAAAAAGCAAATTATTTTTTTTTATTTTTTTTCTGCTGTGACGTTTTAGTCCCAGACTGAATTCCAAATTTGCTCTAGTTTGGTTACAGAAAAAAGACTTTTTGCCACTGAAACTTGAACCATCTGTGCCTCTAAGAGGCTGAGAATGGGAGAGTTTCAGATAATAAAGAGTGAAGTTTGCCTGCAAGTAAAGAATTGAGAGTGTGTGCAAAGCTTATTTTCTTTTATCTGGGCAAAAATTAAAACACATTCCTTGGAACAGAGCTATTGCCGCCTGTTCTGTGGAGAAACTTTTCTTTTTTGAGGGCTGTGGTGAATGGATGAACGTACATAAGAAAACTGACAAAATATTTTAAGAATATATAAAACAAAATAAAGTTGCTGGTCAGTCTTAGTGTTTTACAGTATTTGGGAAAACAACTGTTACAGTTTTATTGCTCTGAGAAACTGACAAAGCAGAAACTATTCAGTTTTTGTAGTAAAGGCGTCACACGCAAACAAACGAAATGAATGGAAAAGTCAAATGGTTTGCCTCATTCTCCAAGAGCCACAACTCAAGCTGAACTGTGAAAGTGGTTTAACACTGTATCCTAGGTGATCTTTTTTTCCTCCTCCTGTTTATTTTTTTTTTGTTTTATTTATAGTCTGATTTAAAACAATCAGATTCAACTTGGTTAATTTTAGTTATGTAACAACCTGACATGATGGAGGAAAACAACCTTTAAAGGGATTGTGTCTATGGTTTGATTCACTTAGAAATTTTATTTTCTTATAACTTAAGTGCAATAAAATGTGTTTTTTCATGTTAGTATGCCTGTTTCTTCCACTGAAGTAAATAATGCTTCATTATAAATATTTAGGGTTTGTCTCTAATATTTAAGATATCCAAGTCTTAGTTTCTTTGTATTCCCTGTAATGTGATACAGAGATCAGCACTTCCAGGTCTGTGTGATACAGCTAAAGTAAGAATCATGTGCCACAAAAGAAAATTTTGTTTATCACATTAGATTATAAAGGAGGACACTCCACTGTGCCTGTCTATCTCTGTGTGACATTGAATGTATAAATATGAAATCAGGGTCCCTCAAGCGGTTTCAGAACTTTGGTGATAGTTACAACTAGAGTTCCTTTAAAAAAAAAAAGTTCATCTTTATTAAAATTTGACCTCCTGTTGAATACTTACCAGGAACTTGCTGTGAAAATCTCTGAAGCTCCCACCCTCCCTGAGAAGTAGGTACTGTTAGCTCCGTTTTAAAGGTGAGGGCAGAACTGGCTCAGACTGTGGAGGTAATTTGTCAGAAGCCAGATAACTAGCAGAGCAGAGGGCCTGCGTTCACAGCCCTGCTCTTTGAGAAGAAAGAAACCTAGGCACGCCTGGGTGGCTCAGTCGATCAGCTTAGGCTCAAGTCATGATCTCATGGTTCGTGAGTTCAAGCCCCGCGTCAGGCTCTGTGCTGACAGCTCAGAGCTTGGAGCCTGCTTCAGATTCTGTTTCCCTCTCTCTCTGCCCCTCCCCTGCTTGTGCTCTCTCTCTCCAAAATAAAGATTTAAAAAATAAAAATAAAAAAAGAAGAAAGAAACCTAGAATTTTGACAGACTAAAGCAGGGTTTTGGAAAAAGTAAGTCATTTTTGTGGTACTTTCAGGCTCTTCTGTTGCTGGTTTAGTCAACAAATCTAATATTTTATTAATGTTCGTGAAAAAAACGAAGTTCAGTTATTCAAATTATGTAGCCACTCAAATAGCATGTTCTGTCTCCTACTCACCCCTCCTATATATTTAACATTTTATTTAATCCCTACATTTAATCCCCAGGCCATAGATGAAAATCTAAAACTTAAAACGAATGCTGCCTAGAGAATACATTTCTCACAATCATAAAGTGTGTGTTCTTTACTCATAGAGCAGCAACTCTTGAGCCTCAGGCTCCCAGAGGTACTAGATCTGAACATCCAGAGTGGGGTCCAAGAATCTGCATTTAAACTAGCTCTCCAGGTGAGTCATGTTCACAATTTAGAACCACGGTCTTAGATCCCTACTGTTGCTCACTTGGTTAATTGATCCCCAGCACATTATAGGCACAGGACCATCAGGGAGAAGTGATGGGTTAAATGGAAAGACAGAAAAACCACATGGCTAAACACAGGCAAAAATCGTATTAGGTTTTGAGTGCAGGGGCCAGCAGCCTTGCCTGCACTAGGATAAATCAGCGCGTAACCCAGAGCCATCACTGCTGTTGACATTGACAACCCTGAATGATCAAGAAGTCGTAATTCTGTTTGGTGATCTTGAAACTGTTTGATTTATCATAATGCAAGTGTGGTTTAACTGTAACATAATTAAAGAAAAACATCATGTACATTATAGGGCGCCTGGGTGGCTCAGTCGGTTAAGCGTCCCACTTTGGCTCAGGTCACGTTCTCGTGGTTTGTGAGTTCGAGCCGCACGTCAAGCTCTGCTGGCAGCTCAGAGCCTGGAGCCTGTTTCAGATTCTGTGTCTCATTCTCTCTCTGCCCCTCCCCCACTCGCTCTCTCAAAAATAAATAAAGGTACATTATAGAATAGAATTGAGTTCACAGGATTTGCAGACAACTAGGACAGAATTCAAGTCCCAATTTTATAATACTATGTAGTTTCAGGAATTTCATTAGATTTCTTGAACTCATGTTTCCTCATCATTTAGTATGTAGAGAATACCCACCTGCTAAGGTTATTGTGGGGATTAAGTAAAATGTTTTAAAGCACATAACACACTGATGGCACTTAATGCTCAATAAATGGTAGCTATTATTAAAACTTGAGGAAAATAGACCCAGATAATTGTAACTTTCTATATTTGGGAACAATTGAATGTTTTGTGACTCATTCAGGTATGTAATAAAAATAGCATTTCTCTATATATAGCAATTTATGTTTTTTTAAGTGGAGTCCCATAGATTTCTCATTTGAGTCTTACAGAAACCTTTGTGAGGTAGATTGGTATGGGGCACCTAACAGTGATTTTGTACACACTTAGGTGTTCACTAAGTATTATTTTATGACTAACTTAATAATCTTTCTTGCAATGGATCTGTTCCTGAAAGGGGATATGTTAACCTGACGCTAAAGGAATTAAATTATTGTTGGTGTAGTAGGAAAGGTCATGAAAGGAACTCTGCTTTGTGGCCTCCTCAGTGAAGAAGTTCACCACCTTATATAACGGAATTTTTACATCTTCACACCAGAATACAGTCAGTCCCCACATTAGGTGTTACAAGTTCTCAAAGATCAAACATTGCCTGGAACTAATGCTAAAATTAAGACACAGAAGTAACCCTTAAAAGGCCCATAGCAGGTACTCAGTAAATAATTGTTGAACTGGGCAAAGGGAGTTTACTGTCTTTTTTTATTATTGGAATTTTACTATTTATAATTTATTATTATTTATAATTTTGGTATTTTGAAACTCCCTTATTGAGATTCAGTAACCACAGCTATTTCATTAATTTGAGACAGCCAATGTATACCGAATGGTTCAGTAAATGTTCCAGCCTACCTATTCGTTTTATTTCAAAAAGTAATTTACATGTAATTGTTGGTATTAACTGTTTTTTTTTGTTTTGTTTTGTTTTTTTGGTATTAACTGTTTTTAAGCCGCTTTCTCTATGACTTTTGAGCTAGTCTATTATAAAGTCTCCTTTCTATTTATCTGAATTGATTA